AGTGAGCTGTCGTATGGGGAGGTGAGAAGTCAGGAGAGCGCGCTCCTGTCAGTTGAAGTGTGGGAGCCGTCAGCACGTGGATGACAGTCTTGACAGCAGGAGGACCCACCAAGGGTGCCCTGTGAGCACTGAGCCTGAGGGCACCACCGTGTGAGAAGTCAGAGCAAGAAGACCGAGAAGGAGCAGTAGGTTGGGCGCCACGCGCGACGGTGTCATCTGTGTCAGAGGAACAGGTGGGAGGACGAGCTGGCGCCTCTTGCACAGGCCTGCTGGGATGCAGACAGGCGGGGTGTGGGGTTCACAGAGCAGAGGGCATGGGTGCCTTGGACGGGCATCCACAGCGATACGCTGTCTGTAGTCGGAGCACGCCATCCTCTCCGGGAACATTGCTGTTTACCTGACTCTCAATTTTTTTCTAGTTTTCGGCCTGCTCCATTTTTTGTTTTAGACGAAGTAGACGCAGCCCTGGACAACACGAACATTGGCAAAGTAAGTTCCTGTCTGCTTTGAATTTCTGGTAGAATGTCTGCAACTCAAGGGTCATGCTGCGGTCAGAGGCCTTTTGTCCAGAATGGAGAGTTTAATTGCTGGTTAAAAATCAAATTTGTGTTAAATATCTAAAAGAAAACAGGGTTCAGGATAATTTTCATGTAAGATTAGGGAGCCCTCAGGAGTTGTTGGGGCGTCCACACAGGAAGCTGAGTGAGGGCTGATGGGCTGGATCGCAGCGTTGCTGCTGGGTATCTGTGAAGTGACCTGTGACCAGGGTGCCCAGCATTCATCGCGTCGCGCCCCGTTACCATGCGCCAGTCTCCCCCATTCCTGTCGGTCTCCCGAGCTGCCCCGAGTCCTGTGTCACAGCCGCTGCCGCTCTGAGGCTGGGCTTCTGTGTTCACGCGCTTCAGTTCAGAGGCAGTTTCCCTCCTCCTCGTCACTCAGCTGAAGCTGCCGTTCCCGCTCCAGGCCCGGGCCCTTAGTGTTTTGGGTGCAGCTGGGCCCTCCCCCAACACAGACACCCCTAAAGCAATCTCTGAGGGGTCCAGGGACTTGGGAGGTTGAGTCTGATCTCCCCTCCCCCATTCGCCAACTTTCAAGCCGACCTCACTCGCCAGGACTCGTGCCCGCCCACCGTCTCCTGTGCCCTTGCTCCCGCTCCTTGGCGTCGGGCTTCCTGCAGCAGCCGCTCAGATCGCCTCTGACGAAATGACTCGTCGCGGTTCTCAGCGCACACGCGGCCGCCATCTTGCTCCCTTCTTCGGGCTCTGTTTTGGCGGGTTGGAAGTTGGAACGTTGGACACTTTCCTCTTCACCCTCAGAAAATAAGAGGCGGTTTCCGTTTCATCGTGTTACAAAGGCTGCTTGCGTTTTTATCCAGTGTTTTAGAGCTTCGTTCTTAAGAATGCTTTAAAGTTTCAGATCATAGATTTAATGTTTTTCACTAGCCCCTTTTCTAGAGTCTGAACTACTTCCAAGCCTGCGGTGGCTGAGGCTTCGCGGCATCCCCAGGAAGGCACGCACGCGCCTGGCCCCCGAAGTGGGTGGCGTCGCGAGCAGCGGCATCTCTGCCCCACGAGGCCGTGCCCTGCAGGTGAAGTGTGCGCTTCATTTCCCCTCAGGTCTCCAGTTACATCAAGGAGCAGACCCGAGACCAGTGTCAGATGATAATCATTTCTCTCAAGGAAGAGTTCTATTCCAAAGCGGACGCCCTGATCGGCATCTACCCGGAGGTGAGGCTGCCTCGCGTCTCTCGGAGCGTGACCCAAACTCCCCGAGGGCGTCTGTGCCCACTGGGCTCCTGCCTTGATAAGTAGGGGCTAAGGTGACGTCTAATCAGATGTCAAAGTAACTACTGTTTGCGGATGGCAGTACAGGCGCTTGAGAGACAGAAATGAAAGCAGAGCGAAAATTGCGGAGCAGTGTGCTGGTTTTGTTTGTGAAAGAACAGCTCGCGGCAGCGTACACAGCCAGCTGCGAACGTCGTCTCAGATTTCTGGAGTGTCTTAGTGTCTCAGCGAAACCCCCGCGCGCGGCAGCGCTGAGAGCAGCCTCTCCCCTCCCAAAAGCCCCAAAGGCAACAACAGGCTGCCCGGAGGTTCCAGGCTGTGTCGTGACTTGACCGGAACGCGTCCCCGGTGGCCTTCGACGTGCTCGTCCGGCTAGTACGTAGCGCGGCTGAGCCGGGCGTTCTGTCTCTGGACAGTTAGGTTTTCCTCCTCAGTTTTCCTGTAAGTTAAGACAAAAATGAATTTCCCTCCCTGTGCCGACCCCATGTCAGGCGGCTGCTGGGAGAGAGGAATGGCGATCCTTGTAGCGGCAGAGAGGAAGGGAAGAATCATTTTCCTCAGCCCAGCTTAGGTTCTCGGGCTGGGGTCCTGTCAGCCAGGCTGGCGGGAGACAGCGCGACCAGAAACACGCAGGAGCCTGTTCGCGCAGGTCGTCGCGCGTGTTCGCGCCGGGTGTTTGGTGACGGGCAACCCAAGGAGCCGGGAAGCTGGGCCCTTGCACATCTTCAGTGAAGAAAAGGAGTTTGGGGCTTCCCGGTGGGGGACAAACGATGAGGAGGTGGGGAGAGGGTGGGAGATGGCGCTGGGTGTGTGACGCATGTGAGCTGCCTGCTCCCCGGGGGGGCGCGGCGTGGAGGAGGAGTTGCCCGCACAAGGGAAAACGTGCGCCCCTGTCCAGCTAGAGCCTGCCCCACGCCTGCTGGCGCCCGGCCCCCCGAGCGCAGGAGGCCCCGTGCTGGAGGCCTTTCCCGGGCCGGGCACGGGGAATACAGCAGAGGTCGGCACGGGCCTGGCACCGCCTGCGCGCGGCGGGAGGCTCCGCCTGAGACGCAGACACCGAGACGCAGCACCGTGGCCGCCCCGTCCCGCGCATGCCGGCGCCCCGCGGCCCAGGCCGTGACCCTGTCCCTCCGTTTCAGCACGACGACTGCATGTTCAGCCGGGTCCTGACCCTGGACCTCTCCCCGTACCCCGACGCCGGAGGCCGCGAGGGCAGCAGGAGACACCGAGAGTCACATTAGGACCTGGAGCCGCTGCGCCCGGGCGCAGACCCGCCGGGGTGAGCGGCTCCTCACACTCGGGCCGCCTGCGGACAGCTGGGACGCCCCGGGCGCCGCCGCGCAGGTTAAGGGGGAAACGAACACTTCGTACCCAAAGTTTTAGCTTCAGTTTGAAAGCAAGTCAGAGAAATACTGGGTTCTGCAAAGGCCCCTCCCTTCCCCCCCCCCCCCCGCCCCCGGCCCGCCTCGGTGACATGCGGGAGGCGCTCGGAGAACGGGTGGCAGTGGCTGAAAATGTTAATAAACAACAGTCTGACTTGAGGCGGCTTCCGGTTTCAGCGCAGTTTTTAAGGCAAACTTGAGTCCCTGCCTCAGGGCCATCTAAGTGGTTCCAGGGCGGCGACCGCGAGGGGGAGACGCAGCACGGGCTGCCCCAGGCCCGCGGCGCCAAGGACACTTGGCGGGGTTCCCGGGAGCCCCTTCTTTCCATTTCGAAACGAAACGCTTAAGGTGCCGGGGTCTCCTACTGAAGACTGGCGGGGGGAGCGCCTCCAGAAGACGGACGCGCCCCTGAACACGCGTGAGCGGCGTAAGGACAGGACGCTCCGCCTGAGCAACAGGTGAAGGCCTTGCCTCGCCCAGCCGAGCCCTGAGCTGCGGGCAGCAGAGGCTCCACCCTGACCTCCTCCCTTCAGTCCTGGCGACAAGGCGGACGCCGGCCGCTCCGTCCTCACCGTCACCAGCACCACACACGCCTGCGCGGCGGCTCCTCTCTGCGCGGGCTGCTGTCTCCACACGCCCACTCGCAGAGCGCCCGCGACGCCTCAGGTACGGTCACCACTGCCACAACACGCAGCGCCGCTTTCCTGCGCGCCCACCCCCGTGGCAGCAAACACGGGGCACGGGCACGGGCACGGGGCTGGGGCCTGTGGGGAAACGGAGCCGTTTGCTCCAGGTTGCCCTGCCCGCAGGTGCTATCATGTGGCGTAACAAGCCCTTGGGAGCACCAGCATGGGGCGCGCTCGGATCGCCCAGGCCGAGAGGCATGAGCGCGGGGCCTGCACACCTGGGATGCAGACACCCCGGCCGGGAGCACAGGGTGCGCGGGGAGCGCGCGTTACGCGAGGGGGAAGCTGAGACGACTGAGCAGGGTGAAGGAGGTTCACGGGGCTGGGGGGCCTCGTTGCTGCCGCCTCCCAGCGCCCCCCCCACCCCCGCCCAGTCTGCCTGTGTCCGCGCCCCTGCCCCAGCACCAGAGGCTGCGTCCACTGCGGGCTCCGCGACGCCTGTATCCACCTTCTCGAATCAACAGTGAACCTGCTCGGCCGGGGGCGGCCGCACGCCCAAGCCCCACGCTCCAGAGGGAAACCGGCGGCGCTCTAGCCCTAGCTGGGGCTGCGCTCAGGACGTGGGTGCGGGCGCATGGACCCCGCGGCCTGCCACGGCACTGGGCCGAGCCGCCCCGGAGTTGGCTGTGCGGTGGGCGCCGGCACAGGCGCAGCTCGCTGGGGACGTGGAGGGGCGTGGGCGCTGGAGGGCCGGTTGGGGGGCCCCGCAGGTTCTGTCACCGACAGCGGCGGCCAGAGGGTGGGTGAGCCGAGCTGCGGCGAGGGGCCAGGCAGGCGATGGTCGGCGTGAGGCGGGCGCGACTGTGGAGAATGACTCTGCGCCCACGCTCTGCACCCTGCCCCGTGCCGCCCACAGAACTAGGCAAATGCACCTTGCGCTGGCAGCGCCGCTCCCCGCTGCCGGCTGGCCTTGAGAGCAGAGCCCGCAGGGGACCCACCCCGCCCCGCCAGGAGCCTCGCCTCCAGCCAGCCCTGCTCCCGCCCCGCTCGCCTGCCGCGTCGCCCCAGCTTTCAGGCCCCGCGCTGCATCCCGGGTTGCTCTTTGTGCCTTTTTCGAAAAAATTGTTGCCTTTTTAAAGAAAGTAGAGCACATTCAAGTTAAACCACCTGACGGGTTTCCCCGCGGAGCAGCACGTCGCGCGGAAGTCGTCCTGAGCCGCGGCCGCCAGACCTTCCCTAACAAACGAACAGTCGAGCCCGTGGAGTGGAGTGGAAAGTTTATTTGTGAGCAGGCAACATACAAGGGGTACCCCATGCTTCTAAAGTCGCCAGCAGGCCTCGGCTTACCTGTGGGCCCCTGCACACCCCAACCTCAGGTTTCTTTCTCGTGACTTTCTCCGTAGCTATGGGGGCCCTGGTGCCACCCCTGGGCTGTGTCTTAGGACTCGGCGAGACATGTCCTGTCAGAGATAGGCCGCCTCTGGGAGCAAGCTGGGCCTCCGCCCCCGTCACCCACAGCCACTCCCCGGGCGCTGGCACCGCGCGCAGCGGCCGCTCCGGCTTGCAGACGCCGGCACGCTGCACCCCCCGAGCCCGCAGACCCCGCGACACGAGCTGCAGGAAGGGCCTGAGGGAGAGAGGGGAGAGGCGGGGTTCACACCCAAGAACGCAGACCCAGAAAGCCCGGGCTTTCTAGTCCGAGAACAACTTGCAACTTATTTCCCGACGACTGGTCACGAAGCAGAGCCGCGCCGCGCCGGCCTCCACTCCCGAGCCGCCGCCGCCCTGCCAGCTCTTTGGAACAAAAACTGCAAACCCTCTCCCCAAAGCCTGGCAGAAGCATTCTTCCACCCCGCGGGCCCGGGGCTGCGTTTGTGTGGCAGCTGACGTGTTTCTGCTGCGGTAACAGGCGTTCCCGCGTCGGAATTACAAAATGTGTCTGGTCTCGTTTCTTTGGCAACCGCCGCTGCTGGGAAGGCCTCCGCTCCCCGCTTTATTAGAAAAGCCACCTGGACAGAGGGCGCACCCCGTGGGCGTCGGGGAAGCAGGCGCGTCCCTCCCCGCCGCCTCTGGCCCTGAGGTAGCTGTCCGCAGTCCGGCAAGTGCACCTGAGGGGGGTGTGGGACGCCGCCCGGGCGTCACGCGGCGGGCCCGTCACCCAGCCTCCGAGGGCCACCCCCACATGGCTCTTTCGGGGGGTGTGACGTTGGAACTGAGCCCCGCGTGGAGCTCTCGGAGCACCCCTCGTGGCTCGGGCATGGCACTGTGGTCACAAGGCTGGTTTTCAAAGTTGCAGGTTTTATTGGCTTTAAAGACTTCAAGACCCTCCGGCATCATCTGTGTAGACAAGAAAAGGAGCGAACGTTCAAGTTCGGCTTGCGAAAGCGCTTGCGCTCGGACTTCCACTTCCGGACGGGGTTCTTTTATCTGCCTGAACCCCGGCCCGCTGCGGGAAGAGTAGCCGCGGCCGAGGGCCGCTCTGGGGACGTGGACCCGCCGGGGCAGCCAGGGCGCAAGGTCTGAGCAGGCGCTCCCAGCGCGCAGGGCACTGGGAACCACACGCAGAGCGGGGCAACGCTTTCTGCGGGGAAGGGCCCGGGGGCTTTTCTCCAAGTAGCCGCGACCGCCGGTGAGGCGCAGGCTGCTGGCCTGGGCCCCGGGCAGCCCCGACGCAAACCCAAGCAGGAAGGAGACAGTGGGGAAGAGCCGCACGCCCTGCAGGGAACGCACAGTACTGGGGGGGGGGGCGGCCACGCCCGCCAGCTGCGCGCACAGCCCAGAGTTACCAAAGGCTCCGAGGAATCCCGCCTCCATGGAAGCCTCCTCTACAGGTCAGAGCTTGGAGCTGGAAGGGCAACGCCAGCGGCGGCAGCGGGCGCCCTCCCACCGCCCTCTCCCGCGGCCGCCTCCGGCCCCCACCCCCGCGGGGCCGCCAGCCCTCGCCGGCAGCCGTTTCTCCAAGTCGCCTTGTTGCCGTGGTCTGCCTGCTGTCTGCGTTCGTGGCGCATGCTGGCTCTCCACAGACTATTCCAGCAGGGCCTGCCCCCGTGGCGTGCAGGGAGAGGCGGCAAGGGCGGCGCCGCGCTCCCAAGCGCTCAGGACGCCTCTGACCGCCGCAGGCGCCGCGCGAGGACTCCACTGGAACGGGCTCTCCGCTCCGGACGCCCCCGCGCCCACACCTTCAGGTGTGCCAGACGACCGGGAGGCCTCTGGCGCCCCAGGGCTTGGCGGGGCGGCGGGGCCACGACAGGGCAGCGCCGGGAGGAGGGCGCCTCGGCCAGCGGGGACGCCGCCCGCAGGAGTGTGAGCCCAAGGCTAGGACATAATTTTGAGTCTCCCAGGAAGTTTTTGAAAACATGCAAATTAAGCCACAATAGAAGACACAAGACGCCAACCCAGGCAGTCCCAAGCGTGAATCCAAGAGGGCACAGAGAAGACAATTCATCCAGGAAACCACAGGTTATTCCAGAACTCGAGAAAAGCACCCCTGGACAAGGTCCACAGAAAAGGTGTGCGCCCGAGAACACGGTCCTGACCCAGGAGAAGATCCAAGCCCCGCCCAGGAGGCGAGCTGGGGGTGACCACGGGTCCCCGGCGGCAGCACCCACCCCCTTCACCGAGGACCTGGCCAGGGAGGCCCACGAGAGCCCTGCAGACGCGCCCGCCCCGGGGAGCTGACCCGCCGCGCGCAGGCTCCGAGAGGTGCCGGCAGGAAGACGGGAGGCGCGGCGGGCGCCTAGAAGAGGTTCGGGGCGCCTGCGGCCTCCAGAAAGGAGCAGCGGGACAGGTGAGCACGAGGTGCCCAAGGGCACCCATCTTGGGAAGCGTTTGCTTTTGGAAGACTGGGGGGAAAGCAGAATCTAGAAATTCCTCAAAAAACACAACGCAGCCCTGCCTTGCGGCGCTGCCGAGCAGCGGGAAGAAACGGGAGGGCGCGTCTGACCCTGACACTGAGGACAGGCCGCCCGCGCGCCCACGGCCACTGAAGGAAACGCGTTTGTTTTCCGGCTCTTGGTCAGCCCGCGAGCGGCGCGAGGGCCGGGGCCTAGTGGCCGACAAGGGGGCCCGCGAGGAAGGAGCGGCGAGGACGGGCGGAGGGACGAGGGAACACGTGGCTCCCCCTGGAGGCGACGGCGCGTGCGTGAGGACAGGCCACCTGCTGCGGGTTCCCGTCCCTGACCCACATGGGATCGCTCGGGTTCGCTCGCCTGGCAGAGATTTGCGGGGCGACCACCTGCGAGGCCCCACCCCGCGGCCCCCCACAAGAAGCCAATTCAAATTAAGAGGTTCCAGCAGGGGCGCCCCTGGAAGGCAGAAGGACAAGCGCGTCCTCCCTACCAGCCAGGAGCGCAGGGACTAAGGCCGTGAGCCACGCCTGCCAGCGCCCCAGGACAAGCCGCACAGCTCACCCGTGTCTGATTGTCTCGGCCGTTTGGAGACGTCGACGCCGTTCTCCTCCAACTTCCTCTTCGCGCAGTCCTGACAGGCGTTCCCTGGAGGGTGGAAACTCTCAGTGAACGCCGTCTGTTCCAGAACCCTCCCTCCAAGTCCAGGGCACGTCATGCGCCGCAGAGCAGGGGGGCGGGTGGAGGCGTCCCTCGAACGCCCAAGCCAGCTCTGGAGTCAGACCTAAGCGAGAAAGCCGCTCTGGCGGGCCCGCCCTCTCCACGAGGGCCTGGGGAGCCCAGCGCACCCCACATGCCCGTCCTGCGGCCCGCCCGCCCCGTGAGTCCTCGCCTCTGCCGCCCCGCCGAGTCCAGAGACGGGGCCAGGAGGCTCCTGAGCAGCGGCTGACCAAGCGCACAGCCCGCACCGGCCCTGGGCCTAGCCGGTCTGCCCCCGGGGCGGTAGCAGAGGCCGCAAAGGGGAGCCTCCACATTGCAAACGAGGAGGAGGCAGAAAAGCTGACGTGAAAGTCAGGACCTCTGTGGTGAGAGTTGTGGCGGCAGCCTCCAGGCAGTCACCGAGTCAGACCCACCAGCAGCCATGGACAGAGCCCTGCGCCGCAGCCCGCAACTCTCAGGGCTAGCCCAAGAGGGCACGGAGGCAGCCGCTGGCCCTGCTGACCAGCCCCCCCGCCCGCTGGCGGGTGGCCCTTCACCCCGTCGTGCCAGGAGCGCACCGCCAGAGCAGCACGGCTGCCCAGCCCCGCAGGGGCTGTTCGGACACGCGTAAACGTTTCATGCAGGAAATGCTCCCGCCGTTTCGCACCAGTGGCCGGGAGGTCAGGGACAGCAGGGACAAAAACACTGGTGAAAACAAAGGTCTGCTTTACCGAGCAACGTGGTGCTGTCCACTCGATCGGCATCTGGAGGAGAAAGGAGAGCGGTCAGCAGAGCCCGCGTGGGCGCGCCTCAGCGGGAGGCCTGCTGCGTGGGGCCACCCACCTGCACTCCCGGGGCCCCTGAGGACCAACAGCATGTAGTGTGGGGCCTGAGGGGACTCAGCCAACCCCTCCCAGGCTCCTCGCCTGTCCAGTCAGGAGCAGCACCTCGCAAACGTGCTGGGGGGTTCAGCCGTCCAAAAGGAGGTGCAGCCCCAGGCAGCCTGCGGAACCCACAACTGGGGTCCCAGAAAGGGACAGCATGGCTCTCAGCGGAGTCTGTGGGGGCCCAGCTCGCCGTTTCCGTGAGGCCTGGCCCTCCGGGAAGTCACGTGTGTGGAGCAGGGGCGGCGGCTGGGACGGCGGGCCAGGTGCTTGGGGCTGGCAGGGCACGCGGCCAGGCCCCTCACTCCACTGTCAGCCCAGCATCCCCGTCACTGACTGGCCAGCCGCTGGCTGCCTCGTCTGGCTGAACCCTAAACGAGACCAGGGATGTGGCGTCCACCCCGCACCCCTCTTAGGGAGCAGCTCTGGTCAATTCCGAAAAGACCCAGCGGGTGACCCGTGCGCCGGCCGCCGGTGGTCTCGGCAGCCCTAGACTTCTCCAGGGCGCTGGGCTGAGCCCGGGGCTGCTGTCACCGTGGGGTGACAGTGGACACCGCACCCCAGTTCACACCATACATGTTTCAGGACCGCGAGCCCAGCACAGGGACCGAGCCTGTCCCGTCTCTGGCCAGTGCCCTCGGGCGGGGCGCCAGCACTGCTCAGGGGCGCGGCGCGGCGCTCCGCAAAGCAGGAAAGAAGGAATAACGTTCTCCCTGAGGTCACTCGTGTCCCAGCGGCCTGAACTTTCAAAAGTGGGGCGAAGGGTAAAGGTGAGAGTCCACGCCCCACCTCACTCTGGTGACAGGCTGCTCCTCTCAGGCCAGCCCCCTGACACCCTGGTACGCGCGCACACGCGCACACACACTTTTGAGCACTAGCTGGAATGGGCCTCCCCGGGGGCGCAGCGGTTGAGCGCTGGGTTGCGAGGCTGCCCGCAGCCTCTGCAGCGCCGGTTCGCTCCCCGGCTGCTCCCCGGCCACCAGAGGAGGGTCCCGCATGGCGCGCAGACCTCTCCTGCCGCCCGCTGCTCCCCTCAGCAGTGTCCTTCGGTCCTTCTGCCTGCTCTGCTCCCCGCTCTGGCTCTGGTGGATCCTCTCACCCTCCCGCGCTTCTGACTGTACCCAGTGCTTGTATAAATAAATAAATAAATGCTAAAAAATAAATAAATAAACGGGCCTTCTTTAAAAAAGAAAAGAAAAGAAAACGAGCTGGAGTACTGGGGGCGCGTGTGGCTTCACGCCTCTCAGCTGCACGCGTGGTGCACACACTCACTCGGCGAACACGGGGAGACCCGCCGGCCGTGCGCTGGAAGAGCAAAGAGATCCCGTACCTGGGCTCCGCTGCTGGCAGATCTGCGTGGCCAGGTCCTGCACGTAGCCGGGGAAGTAGTCGAAGCAGCGGCCGTAGGACACCACCTTGATGCCGTGCAGCAGCATGTCGGCCTGGTGCTTGAAGAAGTGGTCCTCGCTCTCCTTGAGCACCAGCATGTAGTGCTCCAGCTCCACCTTGTTGGGCACCGAGTAGAGGAACAGCGCCTGGAATATCTGGTCGCGGAGGGTCTCTCCGCAGCCCACGAACAGGAAGGACTTGGTGCGGTACAGGTTCTGGAGGACTTCCTGGGACGAGAACAGGGAAGCCCCTTGAAAGACGAGGTCGCCGGCTCGCCACGAGCCCTGCGCTGCTGCCGCGGCGTCTTCGTTGTGTTTGTTTCGCATCTGGGTCTCGTCCTCCCTCCGTCCTGGTGCCTTTAAGCCAGGGCTCCCGGACAGCCCCTCCGGCGCCGCACGGACCGCCGTGCACCACGAGAGCCCTCGCCTGTCACAGGCGCCTCTCCTCTGGAGCCGGGTTCACTGGCCCAGAGCCCAAATCCTCATCCAGGGAGGAGGCGCCTCAGCGAAAGGGCAGCCCAGTGCGCACCCCACCGGGTCTTGTCAACGCAGTCCCTCAACCCGTCTGGAATGCTGTGCAACTGTAAAGTGTCACAACCTAAAAAAGGACCGTCCGTGCTTTACAGCTCAGCATGGCGCGCACACAGTGCCCTGGAGCAAGATCTGTCTCGCCAGGAGGGCGGACAGGCACTGTGGTGAGGCAGGGCCCAGGGATGGCACCCCCAGGGGGCAGGGTCCCTCGGGCCCGCAGCAGAGTCCCCAGCTCCGCCCTCCACCCCCTCCACAAAGGCTCCTGTCGGCACAGCCACAGCCCACCCCCAAGGCGGCTGCCGAGGTCAGCCTGGCCTCGGATACACAGCCAGGGCCAGCACTGAAGAGTGGCCACCCGAGGCAGCGTCACGTCCAAAGGCCGTGCAGGAGCGTCTACACAGAGCGGGGCTGCGCTGTTTCCACCACGCGTTCTGTCGGGGCTGTCAAAGCCGCCCCACAGAAAATGAAGCTGAACAGCTACGCTTTGAAAGCCAAGCAGATGGCAGGCAGAGAAAGGAGCAGACAAGCGGCAAGTGGAGGGCGGGAGGCCAGGCAAGAGGACCCCGGGGTGCCACGGAAAGTTCACTGCACCCCGGGCCACGGCACCAGGAGGGCCCAGCAAGCCTTCACACCCACGCTCTCCAAGGGACCGGGCGCCGGGGTTTACTGAGCCCTCCCCCGTGGGCCGGCCTGGAGCCACAGCCGAGGGCGGAAGCGGGACGCCCTGGGGCCCTGGGGTGATGCCCGTACGCGCGGAGCGGCCTACCATGACTTCTGGGTCTTGCGTGACGTCTTTATAGCCCGAGGGGTCCAGGACCATCCCGCAGGGATCCGTGTACAGGCCGTGGATGTGCAGGACGCCGTAGCGGATGTGCCCGCGCGCCCACTGCAGGACCTGGGGCCGGGCCGAGACAAAGGCCAGTGAGTGCCCGGGAGGGACCCCGAGCAGACGCGAGGAAAGCGCCTCGGGCTCGCGGTTTGCACGCGCGCCTTGGGAAGAGGAAGAGTGACGTTTCCACCTACGGTCACGGCTTCCACAGCCCCGCACGGCGGCGCCTGCCGCGTCCTAGCAGAAAGGACTTTAAAGGCAGGACAAGCCTCTCCGGCGGCGGCGGCAGACTGACGACGCGGGGCCCTGCCGGCTCGCCCGCCGCCCACGCCACACAGCGCCACTTCCTGCTCCCAAACCTCGTTTTTACTCAGAAAAATCACGTAAAAAACAATAGGACAGGAGCTTTCATCTCAACATCCAGGACAACGGTCCTGAGACGAGGCCCTTGTCGGCGCGTCTCCTCGCGCGGGCCTCACAACAGCAGGCGGGGGCCGCGGGAGGCTGCTCCTGCCACTGCGCGCCTCACAGGGCCCCCCCGGGGTGAGCAGGCCGCACGCGGGGCAGTGGGCACGCGAGGCCTGAGGCCGGGTCCCGCCCCGCTCCGGCGAGGGCTGCCCTGGGGGGCCCCCTTCCTGGGGCCATGAAGGAGAGGGAGCCCCGCAGGGCTGGCCCTTCCCGCCCGGAGCTGGCCGCGGGGGTGTCCTGGGCAGTGCCGCCGTCCGGTCTTCTCCCAGACACGCGGGGACGCAGACGCCACAGGAGAAATGGCGCCTCAGTAAAGAAGTAAGACCCAGTTGCCAAATGTACTTTGTTCTGCGCCGGCGCAGGGAACAGGTGTTCCCGTCACAGCCGGTGGGCGTGCGGCTGTGATCGTTCTGGAAAACCACCTGGTGATGTACACGATCAGCCTTTAAAATAGTCACACCCTGCGCCCTCCCCCTCCGCAGGAGTCGGCCCAAAGCAGGCAGCACGGGCCACAGGGTAGCCGCTCCCGCTGCGTGTCGCCACGGCCCCGAGGGTACAGCGGGGGGTGGGGGGGCGTCAGCGGCCTCGGCTCCGGCCGTGAGTTGTGCTGCCGGCGACAGCGCAGGACAGGAAAGCGCCCACAGCATGACGTCAAGGGGAAATCGGGATTAAAAACTCCATCTCTAGTCCAATTTGTTTTTAAACAAAAGGCAAATCAACCACAACGTCACGACAAACAGGACGGAGACGCGGCGTTGCCCGACGGCCACCTTTCCGCGACGGCCACTGCGAGGCCCACGGGACAAGAGAAGGCCCAGAAGTGCAGGGTGCCCTCCCGGTGGGCCCAGGGAGCAGGCCGGCCCCGCGCTGAGAAGCCCGCGGGTCTCAAGGGACGGGGAGAGGCGTGGGGAGCACAACGCCTCCCCCACCCCAGTGTGCCCCTGCTCCCCGGGCACACCTTGGTCTTGTCCTTCAAGTCCAGGGACTCCATGGGCTTGTGCTGCTGCTGCCCGAAGATCTCCAGCAGGTTGTCGTAGTTGGTGGTCAGGACCATGGTGCCCCGCTCCATCAGGCTGAGGATGGACTGCAGCACCAGCGGGTTCTGGATGTGCTGCTCCAGGTTGTCGAAGACCTCCATCAGGCAGTCCTGGAAGAAGCTGGGCTTGGTGTCGCCCGTGCGCTGCAGGAGGGGGGGGCGCCAAAGAACGGATCAGGAACCACCGCTCCACCCGCTCAAGCTGGGTGCTGGGGAGGGGCCGGGGAGGGACAGACAGAGCAGCGCGAGCTACAACCTCTGGAGGCGGAGACAGACGGACCGCGCTGGGTGCCGGGAAAGGGAAACAGGAAGGGGACTGGGTGCTGCAGGCGGCAGGGGCACCAGGAGGGCCTGAGGGAGCCCGCGGTCTCTGGAGAGCGCGGCATAGAGAAGAGCGCGTGCACAGGCACTGAGGCAACAGCACTGGCCTGTGGCGGGTCGGCAGGTGGGGTCAAGAGGGCGCCTGGAGACAGGTGTGGGGGCCTGGAAGGTGGAGACCCTCCCCTGCTCAGAGGAGCAGATTGTGGGGTCTCGGTGCCTCTGAACGTGGCTGAGAGACGCGTCGCGGCAGATCCAGCCAGGCCACGGCTGAGATGGGCCTCCGGAGGTAGCACCAGAGGTCACCGGCAGCCCTAACAAGAGCCACATCCATGCCGCCCGCTGGGCTGGCTCTGGGAGAGGCCGAGCTGCCAGCGGCAGCGCTCAGGAGAGCTCTGCGCGGGGGTCAGGGAAGTGGGGGGTGGCACCAGGAAGCACAGCCTGCTCCCACACCAGCTGCTGAGACTGGCCCAGGGGTGGCCGCGTAGGACGGGGCATGGGAGGAGGGTGGCCCTCCCCTCCCCTCCGGCTGGGGGTGCGCAGCAGTCGGGGCAGCTGACCGGAGCCGGAGGGAAGCAGCGGAGGTCGGACAGCAGTTGGAGCTGGTCCCGACCCGGCCAAGCCCCAGACCCCACTGCACCTCTGCGTGCGGCCCCACTTGGACCCGCGTCACCGCGCCAGAGATGGTCGTCGGACGGACAGGCCCGGGCTCCCGCCCCCCGCTGAGGCGCGGCCACCAGGCGGGCCCTTCACAGACCCGCGCCCGGGCCAGAGCCCGGCACCCCCGGCGCGCTCGGGCCGGCCGCTCACCGGCGACATCTTCCGGATCAGGTCGTGCGCGACCACCAGCAGGTCCCGGTCCTTCGTCACCTTCCTGCGGAACTCGGCCACGTCCCCGGGGTGCAGCACCTCCAGCTGCTCGGCCGCCTCGATGACCGCCTCGATGCAGCTGCGCCACGAGCAGAGGGCGGGGATCCCCGGGGCCACTGCCGCGCTCACCCCCGTCCCGATGACCAGCAGCAGCTCCTGGGGCTGCTTCCGGACGAGGCTCTTTAAAAACTTTCTACTTAAAAGCGAGGGGGGAGAGAACGCCCAGTGGGTAGCAACGGGCGCGGGAGAAACAGCGGCCCGGGCGTGTCGGGGCGCAGCGAGCGGGCACCCCACGGCCCCGGGGGCTTTCGCTCGCTCTCGCACGTGCTGTCCTCACTCCACAGAGGACTTGGGGGCAGTCGTGTGCGGTCCCCGGGGTGAAGCCCACGGGACTCAAGACGATCTGCGTCTGAGCAAAAAGCTCAACCAGTTCAAATCCTCTGCAGCTTGTGAGTACGAGACACGAGACAACCCGTGCTCATAGAAAATTCTAGCAAAATGCTGGATTTCTGCCACCCCATCCGGCGGGGCGTGCCCCTCCTCTTGCGCCGCTCCCCCTCCGCCCGACCCGCGGCGCCCGCAGTCACGGCGCCCCCCACCCCCACCCCCGCCAGCGCAGCCGAGCACCGGGCTCCATTTACCTGGACTTCTGCTCGCTCCTGTCGGCCGCCTTCTCCGCCGGATCCATCTGTGCGCCCTGGGAAGAGAAGTCGGTCAGGCGCGGCTTCCACGTCCCGGACACGGGCCTTCGGCGGGTCGCGGGGAGACAGCGGAGGCTGGGGTGACATTCAAGGCCCGGCCCCGCACCGAGCCAGAGGCCGGAAAGACACAAGGTGCAGACCCCCCCGTGTCTCCTGGGCTGGGCTCCTGTGCAGGGTGACTTCCGGGGGCCAAGGCCCCCCTGGGCTCCCGCGGACGCGAGCACAAGCGACTTCCCGAGAAGGAAGGAGGAGGCCCCCCCAGAGGCAGGGCCCGGCCGGGCGGCCGCCGTCACACCGCCTCCGCGCCCTTCCAGAGTCACGTCCCCCTGGCTCGTGACCCGCGCTTACTGCGCGTGGGGAGGTCCCACCCCACGGCCCCACCCCCCTCCAGCCCAAACCAGCAGCGGCTCGGGACCCCCTGGGGGCTCCCCGGCCCCACGCCTCACGGGTACCCCTCCCGCCTGTTACGCCGCGCCTGTGGGCGCACGGCCCCCCGAGGCCCCGCGTCGCTGGGCGCCTCCCCTCCCACCCCGCGCGGGCTCGGCACCCCGGAGCCCATCTGCGTAGGCTGTTCAGGAGCGGCCGCTGAGGTCAGGACCACGAGCACTGACGCCTCGGCGCGGGCCCTCCGCGTCCAGGAGAGCGGCCCGCCCTGCCCGCACGACGGCGGCGCCTGCCCGGAGCCGGCATCTCCTCTCCCCGCTAGTCAGGCGCCGGAAGCCCATTTCCAGGACGAGGAAACCAGACTTGATCTGTCGCGAAGCATCACCAGGTGTGACATCTCAATGGGGTCCCAAGAATGTCCCCCGAGAATGTACACACCACTGTCTGCGGCGGCCTTCTCCCCAGAGCTTCTACCAAACTCCCCGGAACGTCTGTGACGCCCCCCAAGTGTTTGGGGAGCGCACCGTCACCTCAGGACACGAGTGAGGACACCAGTACCCCCCACAGGGAAAGGTGGGAGCCAGGGGTGCCCCCCGGGAGTCCCCAGCAGCCACCCACCGTCAAATCCAAGGCTTGGCTCTGTCAACCCATGCGCCCTGCCCCAGGGAAAGCAGCTGCAGACCCGCCCGGCCGGCGAGCTGGGGGATGAGCCAAGGGCTGGGACCTGCCCCGAAGGCCGACTTCCTCCGCAGGGGCAGAGCGGAACCGAGAGGCCCGAGTCCCACCTGGGGGAGGTTCCTGCCAGATGCTTATCAGATGACTAACCCCAGGCCCGGCCCTCAGCCAGGCGTGCTCCCCAGGCTCGCCCAGCTAGGCGGGGCGCTGCGTCTCGAGCATCGCGTGAACAGCAGCGGTCGCGCCGCGGCCGGGTGCTGCGCGGACACCGAGCATGGCGTGCGCTCACGCTCCCAGCAGTGCGGCCGCGGAGATGTCGCTGGGCTGGACCTGACTCCGCAATCAAGTGACCCCAAGAGAACAAGGGGTCCCCTAAGTCCTTGGCACCCAGGAGAGGAGGCAGCGGCGGGGACGCAGCGGCCGAGGCACTGGGCGCCTTCTCTTTCCCTGGCACCTGGCGCAGCGCCAGGGCGACCCCCGGCCCCCGCTCTGCGCCGCCACCAGGTTCCACTCCGCGGCAGAGGAGCCTCTGGACTTGAACCCCACCGTGCACCTCTAGGGGTCCCAGCCGCGTCCCACGGAAGCTCTGGTCCTGCTCACGGCCGGCTCGGGGCGCCCAGCTGCCCATATGTAGACACGCGCGGCTCGGGCCGCCGGGCCTGCAGCATGAGCTCACTTCCCGTGCTCCCGGCAGCCGCGGCGCCAAATCCCACAAGAACCCAGAAAACACCCGGCTCTCGCCTTGTTTTCCAACCAAGGGCCCCGGAGCCTTGCACAGCGTCAGAACCAGGTCTGCGAGTTTCGGGAGGACGGCGGAGCTCCGCGCCCCTCCCCGCCCCGCCGCTCAGCCAGCCAGAGTCCCGGCAACAGCAACAAAAGCCTCCGGGGACCTTTCAGAAGCTGCATCTTTGGTTTCCTTGGTGACCGCGCCGTCGCCACAGCGTGCAGGCCCAAAGCCAAGCAAACCCATGTTTTACGCACCTATCGGCATGTCCCGAAAGCACCGTCAGGCCCCGACACATTTGAGCGAACAGCTGCTGCGCTCGTTAACCGGAAGCCCTGAATGAAAGCCCGGCGGATGGCGTCTGCTGCAAATCGACATCGCGAGTGTTTCATGAGCTGGCTTCAGGGCAGGCTCAGGCCGCCTTGTCCTTGACACCCCGGCATCCAGCACGACACACGTCCATCAAGCCACGTCCAACGCAGAAGCCCAGCCCCCCGGGCCGGGCTGGGAGGACGCCCGCCTCCCCGAGCCCACGGCCCCTGCCCCGCCCGGGGTCCTCCGACGCCTTCGGGGATGGCTCTCGCCAGCAAGCAGGCGCCCAGTGGGCGCCAGGACAGCGCGGCCTGCCCTCCGGGAAAGCCAGGCTGGCCCTCCGAGCGGGAACAGCCATCAGCACCAGCATAACTCGGCCCCACCCACTCGACGGGGGTCACCCTGACCCGGCCACACCCGATGAGGGCCTCAGGGGGCCAGCTGGCAACCTGCCCAACCAGGCCCAGGCACTGAGGGTCTGAGTCACTCGCCGGCCCGAAGAGCAGAGGGACCGGAGGGGACCCCTGGGCACTGGAGTCCATGAAGCTCTGCGGGGGACGGAGACAACGCGGCAGAAACAGAAATTTTCAACAGTGGAGTTTGAAGAACTGGCCACTTCCTTTTACACGCTACACCTTCGCCAACAGCACGGCCATGAGTCTCAAGCCCACAGGAGTCCCAGTAACCCCCGCGAGCCCTCCCGACCTCTGCAGGTCGCCGTGGCGCCCCAAGCTGTGCGAGGGCAGCGAAGCGCGCTCCCAGCACGGCCCAGGCAGGAGACGCGGCGCCCACGGCAGCGTCCACGTGGTGGCTGCACTCACCTGCGCCCACCCGCTGCGGGGTGGAACAAGAGGCCCCGGAATCTGCGCCAGAGCAGCAGCACCGCGCGGCTGTGCCTCGCCGGGCCAGTCCCGAGGGCGAGCCGGGCGGCCGCAGGCCTCGTGCTGACGTCCCACCACAGCGGCCGTCAGGGAGCAGCGGCGGGACCCCACCTTCCCAGCAGGCCCCCTGTGAAGCCCCCGAGGCCAGCAGAGCTCCGGACACCCACACAGCAGCGCTCAGCACCTTCTCCCTGTACGCCGACCTGACCCCACAAACTGCCTTTCTCAGAGTGCGCGCAGGCCCCGCGCTGAGCCAGGAGGGGCCGCGGAAGCAGAAACTACTGGGCAACAAGAGTACTTGGAACAATCTGGAATCTGGCTGACGGATGCATTTCCGGCCAGTCTAGTGGCGTGACGAGCTTCACTTGAGCTGGAAACTGCAAACGACAGAAGTTGAGTGTCCAGACCCCCAAAAGGAAGCCTTAGCCCCAAAGCTGCCACAACTCCCTCCACATCTCGCTACCCACGACTGGCAGGACTGCGGTGAGGACTCGAGTCAGAGAGCTGAGAGGAATTCCGTCAACTTTTTTCGTCCTTAGATTCGAGGGAAAGCGTCAGCACGTCACCTGCGTTCAGGCCCCGCGGCAGCCCTGAGGTGCTGCCCTCACCTGGCCCAGGCTGACCCGAAACCCTCTGAAGAGGCCAACCACCCTGGCAACAGCAGGCGGCGCAGAGCAGCACACGCGGGCCTGACGTTTTACCAGGAGCCCCGCCAACCCGGGAGGGCTCGCCGACCCGCGGCCAGTCCATCAGCTGTGACACGTCACCGAGCGCATGACACGCGTTCCCAACGCTGAAGCGCACTTGTGCGTGGGCCTAAGACACGTGAGCCGCCAACGTTTACCCCCCAAGAGGCGCACTGACGAGTTCTAGAAAGTAAAGCTACAGTGACAGGAGTACAGAACTTCAGGGCTGGGGGGATCTTGGCGTTCTGTGGCGACACTAGCCCAGCTTCCAGAAGGGAAAACTGAGACCCTGAGAATCGACCTGAGATGCCGTCCAGGGGCCCCCAAGGAGTCAGAGGCTACCGGGGCTTCTGGACACGGCCCTGGCCTTGGCGCCCCCAGGGGCCCCGCCTGGCCCCGAGACTCCAAAACGCCCTCCAGAGCTTGTGCCTCTCCTCGTCCTCGGGCCTGGACCCGGCAGGCGGCAGGGTCCGGCGGATCTGCGGCTTCTCCAGCCTTCTCGCTCCAGGCGCCTCCAGAAGCGCCAAGACAAACAACCGCCATTAAGGCAGCGGGGAGAAGCCCCCGGCGAAACCAGCCGCTCCCAGCACCCTCCGCTCGGCTGGGCCCCGAGGGGACCCCTCAGAGGACGCCGGTCTCCGCGCCGCCTCCTGCCCGAAGGAAGCAGATGGGGGGGCGAGCCCGGCGTCCTGAGGAAGCAAGAGCCCCCCGGCCGCCCGGCCGCGCCTCGGGGCTCGCCACACGTGAGCGCCCCGAAGCCGGCGCGCTGCCTCGGCGTCTCCCTGGACCGTCCCCTTTGTCTCCAGGGCCCCGGCGAGCTCATCACGCCCGGCTGCCCGGGGGCAGCTCACCTGCCGCCTCCCCCGGGGGGCCTCCTCAGGCGGGTCAAGGTCGTCGCGCCTCAGGCTCCACAGAAACAGCTCCCGGGGCGGGAGGGCGGCCGCGTCCTCCGCGGCTGCGCGGCGCTTCCCGGGACGGTCGGCGTCCAAGGAGGCCGTTTCCACGGAGGCGCGCTTGGGTCGCCGGCCCTGCCCTCGGCGCTGCCTCCCCGCGCGGCCCGCGGGCGCGAGACCCGGGGCGGCGGCCGTCGCGCGCCTCGACCGCTCGGCGTGGCCCAGGGCGCTCCGGCCGGCGCGCGCGGGGACCCGGCGGCCTCTCAGGAGCCTGCGGGGTCTCGGGGCCGCAAAGCGACAGGGGTCCCCGGGTCCCGGGAGAGGCTGGGGGCTCGGGGCCCGAGGGGACGCCGACGGGGGCCGGGGCTCCGGGCAGGGCGGGAGCGGGGCTCGGGGTGCCGGCCCGGAAGCCCGAGTGGGGGGCCGCGGGCCCCTCGCCCGGCCCTCCCCGGGCCCTCACCTGAGGCGCGCCGCCCCCTCCTCCCAGCGGTCCACCGCGGCTCGGGGCCTCCGGCGCCGCGCGCCCCTCGCGCTGGGCGGCCTGCGGGCGGGCACTGCGCGCGCAGCGGGGCGGGAGCCGAGCCGGAGCCGCAGCCGAGCCGAGCCGGACGCCGCGCCGCCCCCAGCGCCGGCCGCGGCGCCGCCGCCAAGCCGTCCCCCGCGCGCGCGCCCCCGCCGCGCGAAGGTTCCGCCGCGGCCAACGGCCCGCCCGGAGCGGAGGCCCCGCCCTGGGGGCGGGGTCACAACGGGCGTCCCCACCCCGAGCCGCCGGCTCCGCCCCCGGAGGGGCCCGGCCCCGCCCCCATCCCCACCCCGGCCGCTCCGGCGCAGGCGCGGGGGCGGGCCGCGGGCGCTCGCTTCCCGGACCTGCGCCCGGGCGGCGCGGCGCCGGTGTCCCCTGCCCTCGGGCGCGGCGTCGGGCCTCCCCCCGCGGGGCCGCGTCCCGGCCGGCCTCGGGCCCCGCGGCCGCGAGCGCCGGGCCGGCCCCGGGACCGCTGCGCCGTCCGCGCCCCCCGCCCCCGGCGGGCCCGGCGGTGCCTGCGCGGCCGCGGCCGGGACTCTCCCCGCGGCCCCCGCGGTGTCCAGACCCGCGAGCCCGTGGCCCGGCCTGCCCGGACCCGGTCCCCGGAGGGCTCGTGGGACCCCCTGGCCGGGCTCGCGTCCCGGGGCCTGTGCCGCCCTCGCCGCCCGGGAAGTCCCTGCCTCCCGCAGAGCCGCTTCCTCCGCGCAGCCCTCCGGGTTGGCCCTCTGGCAGCAAGCCCGATGGGCCGTTCCTCTCTGCTCACAGCTCGTTTTTCCCCGCGCGGTTCTAACATTCCCCAGACCCGCCCAGTCCCCGAAACCTCAAGCTGCTGGAGCAACTTGAGTCCAGAGCACAGAGCGCGGTGGGGCCGCTGGCTCCAGTCCGAGCCTTCCGTAGCGCTGCCCGCTGCCCGGGAAGTGCCTGAGCTCACTGCCTGCTTCCTCCCTGCAGTCCTCAGGACGCCCCCTGAGGAAGCCGCCCTCATTATTCCAGTTTGACCAGAAGCTGGCTCTGAGGTGGCCCAGGCTGCCCCATGCATTTAACCCCCACCCCAGACAGCGGCCCCCCTCCCTGTGCAGGGCTGACCTGCAGGGCAGTAGTTCAGGAGCGCTGGCTCCTGGTTGAGTGCTGGGCGCCCGGGCGGACAGGAGACACGGCCCCTGCCCTAGCGGAGCTCCCAGACCCCCGTGTGAAGAACGAGGCCCTGGGGCTAGGGGGCTGTCGGAGGTCAGACCACCGTCCAGGGAGGAGGAGCTGGCGTGATGGGTTCAGCCCCAGCCGGGGCACAAGCTGGACATCTCAGCCCCTCCCACCAAAACCCAGCTGAGCTGCCTCCTGAGGACAAGGTCAGCAGGAGGGACCCAGAAGGAACAACAGCTCCCCTCCCCCACATCCCAGACAGACACAGCGTCCATCAAGTCATGGAAAAGTACCACAAGGCGCTGCCACCTGGCTGCCCCGAGCTTTCCCAGGGAAGATAAGGGGCTGGCGCCAGTGTGTGGGCGTGGGTGTCACGTGCGGCTGCGCCCTGCAGTTGTGAGTGTCCCAGCCGACCCCCAGCCCCGCACACACATCTTGCTCATTTTGTTTTGCAAGGTGTTCCCCGGGCACCAGCGGGGGCTGCCCAAGAGAGTCAGAATGCTTGGGCCGGGCGAGCTCTTGGGTGCCTGTACGCGTTGCTGTTTACTGAGCACCTACTGTGTTCCAGGCCCTGCACTCTTGGAGCACAGAGCTCGTTCCTCCCCGCGTTATCGTTATTCCTCTTTAACAGAGGACTTACAGTACTGCAGCCGAACTGGGAAGGGCCCTGTTGCAGCCAGGGACGACCTGGCTACAGAAGCGGCTTTGCTCTGTCAGAGAGGAGAGAAGGGACAGAGGTGCCGCCGGGGCCCCGGGGAGGTGCTCCAAAGAAGGCAAAGAGAAGACATCTGGGGCCGCTGACAGACTGCGATCCAGAGAGGAAGTTGTTGCTTTCCTCCTGAAGAGCCAGCTCGGAACACACAGGTGCCTGCACGGGGGCAAAGGCCAGGCGCACACATCCTGCACCCTCGGACCACACCTCAGCCCTCACGCTGCCCGGCACGCGTGCACGCCGCAGACGTGCTAATGGAAAAGGAGCTCGTGAAGCCTTTGGCTCCCCCCGCCCCCAGCGCAAGGCTAGTGTCCTGCCGAGGCCCCCAAGCTGCCCCCGCCCAGGGCGGGCTGGCGGGGAGGGCCAGGTGCCAGCACTGGCAGCCGGTGGGGTGGCTTTGCTGGCCGGAGGAGTCAGGGGCCTGGCGATCACAAGTTGGGAAACCCCTGCCCTGCTTCTCTGCCCTCGGTCTGGCCCCACCCGCCCCAGCCCGGGCCTCACCTATGGCCTCGCAGTTTGCCCCAGGCTACCTGGAGGTCTCCACTCCTCCGTCCATGGCCCTGCCCCTCTGCAGCCAGGGGGTGGGCGGGGGGCACTGAGGGAAGCAGACCCTGCCCTCATGGAGCTGCCAGTGTGGACGGGTAAGAAGCGGGTGTCGGGCGTGGCCGGGCGGTAAAGAGAAAGGGAGTCTGCTGAGGGGCCCACGCCGCTAGGGAGAGGAATGGGCAGGTCAGGCTGGAGACATCTGCAAACACACATCTGACTAAGGCCCCAGCCCAGAAGACAAGCAGCCAGACGACACTGGGCGAAGGCTGTGAACATGTGCTTCATCGGAGAAGAGCCAGGAGCAGCACCCAAGGGCCTGAGAAGATGCTGCCATTGGTTCTCATTCGGGAAATGCCAGCACACCACAGTGAGGTGGCACCACAGGCCCCGGGAAAGGCTGCCTGAAGAGACAGCCCTGGCACATGTTGCTGGGCGTGTGGAAGGCAGGACGCCGCTGCGTTGCCACAGGAGTGGGGAGCGGGAAGCCCACCCTCACCACACAGCTGCGTCGGGGTGATGGCGAGCGTGAAATTTCATGTTAACGCCAAATGCGGTGAGGATGCAGCAAAACAAAATCACGTCACATCGCCGATGGGAGTCGCCCACCAACGAAAGCCCAGCTGAGTTCATTTGAAAGACCTCGTGGCTCTGCTCCGTGACTCGTGACTCTGGCAGCATCCCAGCCCAGCCGGCAGGGAGGAGGCGCCCTGGCAGGACGGGAGACGGAAGGGTTTCACGGCAGGGAGAGGGAAAGAGGAGGACGCAGGAATTGCTCCTTAGGGAACCTCTCCTTGGGGAATGGGAAAGGTCTGGTGCCCAGCGAGCTCATGTTCCTCTGGGAGATGCGGGCGCTCCCCTCGTCGGCGCTGACTACGTCATCCCACACTGACCCGGATGCCAGACTGCTTTCCTGGGGGACGCTAAGACTGTAGGGGCCTGAAGCCACGGGTAGGTCCCCGTGGGTTTAGCACAGGCGCCACCATCTTGACCTTGTTTTCTTTTTGACAGAATTTAAAATGGCTTCTGCCACTCTAGAAAAAAATTTGACAGGTTATTTTAAAAGTCAACATGCACTTACCATGCAGCCTGGCAAGGGCAGTCAAGTGTTTATTCCAGAAGAAAAAGAAAGACCTTACACAAAATGTTCCTAGCAGCTGGATGCGTAATGTCGCCAACCTGGGGACAACCCAGACTGAGCAGATAAAACCAGTCCAAACCAGTTCTGACTTGTTCAAACCAGTTCAAATTGGTTCTGATTGGTTCAAACTGGTACTGACTGGTTCAAAATGGTTCAAACCAGATCTGACCAGAGAAAACCAGTTCTGACCAAATGAACCCAGTTCAGATGGGTTCAATCTGGATAAAACCAGTTCTGATCGGATAAAGCTAGTTTTTGCCAGTACAAACTGGTTCAAACCCAAGAAAACCAACTCAGACCATTTCAAATCATCTCAAAATGGTTCTGGCTGGATAAAACTGGTCTGAGCTGGTCCAAAATGGTTCTGACCAAATGAAATGGGTTCTGAATGGTTCAACCTGGATGTCACTCAAGAAAACCAAATCAAAACAGCTCAAACTGATATAAACATATTCTGACCGGTTCTAGCCAGTCTGACCTGAGAAATAAGGTTGAAACAGGTTCTAACTGGATAAAGCCCGTTCAGATTGCTTTTGAACAGTTCAAACTGGTTATGACCCAGATGAAACAGGCTCAATTCAAACTGGTTCAGATCAGAGGAAACCAGTTCTAACTTGATAGAAGTGGCTGTGACAAGTTCAAACTGGTTTCTGACTGGATGAAACAGATTCTGACAGGTTCAAACAAGTTCTGGCCAGATGAAACCAGTTCTGACCAATTGAAACAGGTTCTGACCAGATCAAACCTTACCAGATGGAAGTGATTCTAACTGGTTGGAGCCAGTTCAAACTGTTTCTGACCAGATGAAACTAGTTCTAACTGGTTGAAACAAGTTCAAGGCTGTTCTGGCCAAATAAAAAAGGTCCGACTGTTCTGACTGGATCAAACTGTTTCTAACTGGTTGAAACTGGCTCAAATGATTCTGACCAGATAAAACAGATTCTGACCAGTTCAAACTGGTTCTGACTGGATGAATCCAGTTCAAACCAATTCTGACAGGATAAAAATGGTCAAGCCTGGTTCTTACTGGTTTAAACCAGTTCACACCAATTCAAACTGGTTCTGACTGGTTCAAGCCAGTTCTGACTGGTTCTGACCTAATGAATCAGATCTAAGCTTAAACAACTTATGACCAAATCAAATTGGTTCTAACTGGTTGAAACTGGTTGTATTGGCAAGCCTGCACAGGGCAGGTTCTCTATCAATTCAGGTAGACGGGTAAAAAAGGGCCCAGGAGGGCCTCCCTGGTGATGCAAGGGGTTAAGACACAACCTATGAAGTTAGCCACAGCCACTGCAGCATGAGTTTGATCCCCAGCCAGGGAGATGACCCACATGGTGCAGCAGACCTCTCCTGTCTCCCCGCTGCTCCCCTCAGCAGTGGATTTCAGTCAGTCTGCCTGTTCTGTTCCCCGCTCTGTCTCTGGTGAATCCTCTCACCCCCCACAC